AACCGCAGGTGCGGCTCAGGTCGAGACAGGAATTCTTTACTTGCAGAGTGGTGAACGCGTGGAATGCGTTAGATGACGAAGTAGTGGCTGCCCCTTCTGTGACTATCTTTAAGAAGAAACTAGATGCTTTCATGGACAGGCAAAAAGGTGGGGGGCAATGTTGACGGTAGGTACTAGACAGTAAGCAACTAGGATAATAAAAATATATATATATAGCTTTAAGAGGGTTAGGCCTACCCTAAAATTAAGGAACGCTCGACCTCGACACGTGATATCGAAATGGGCGAAATCGCCTCTTGATATCACTAACTCTCTCTTGACTTGACTGGATCCAGTTGGAGCCAGGTTGGTGATCGAGGGGCTTTTGCGTAGACTTGGCATATTTTTCAATTTTGTCATTTCAACTTTTATTTATAAAAAGAAAAAGTCTTAATTATGTGAAACTTGTCAAGTATTTGGGAAATTCGGCACCTATGTTACCCAGCTACAGCTGTTTGCAATCTGCCCATTGAGTCGACGAGTTGAACATTTTGCAAATTCTAGTCGGCAGCAGTAGGGTATTTTACAGAGGAGCGGCCGCCTCCTCTGGCAGCCACTTGAAAGGACCTAGCGCCCCCTCGAAGGTTTTTTTTTTTCTCACCTGATAACCTTAACTCAGTACCCCTCCCTCCCCCCGTCTATCAGCCTTGGCTAACCCCTTTCTTCTAGTTTGCCCATCCCAGCTCATCAGCAAAAATACGCCATTGGTCAGTAGAATGCGATTCAGGAAGTTAAGCATTCATGTTGAACCATCCGAGTTGCAATTCGGCGAATTAAATATGAGCAATTGACGAGTTGTAGTCGGCAAATCGAACATGAGCAATTGACAAGTTGTAGTCGGCGAATTAAATGTGACAAGTTGTCACTGCGAGTTAAATGGTGACCAAGTTTTCTGGATTCCCGATAAGCCATCCTCTCTACTGGCAGCCTAGACCGAAGATTTCTGCTCGATACTGCCCTATGTGGCCTGGGAACACACTTCGCACATGCGTGTATGGACCATTTGAGCGCCTGAGTAATAACATAAGACAACGTAATAAATGAATGAGAACGAAGGTAAGGAACTCTCGTGCCCCACGCCGTTCTTTTCTAATCGGGCAATGACCGAAACATCTACGAGTCATACGTTGATTACAGAATGACAGGGTTTCCATTCCCTCTGGCGTCCTCCCATCAGAAATTGCATGGTCCTTGTTTCTACTTTTCAATTGGACGACCTGTTTCATGAAAAGAACCTCCCCACATAATTTTTTAATCGGACATGTGATATTTTACATTTGAGTGTACGACGTCCAACGTTTACGCTGTTGCTCATGATTTCCTTTACGCAGTTGCTATAGTAAAATAGTCGTAATATTAATATTAAAAAAAAACATTATTGTGCAAACTCGATCATTCCATTGGAAACGACCACGTGACACCCAGTGGCGTATAGAGGGGGGGGGGGGCTTCAGCCCCCCCAAGTTTGGTTCAAGCCCCCCCAACTCTGGTCGAAATGCGTCCGCCCCACCCCAACGAGGCGAAGTTAGCCCCCCATTAGCCCCCCCAACTTTCCGCTTAGCCCCCCCATTGACGAAAACCTGGCTACGCCACTGGTGACACCACAAGAGCTAAGTGCGTGTTACACGTTCAGAGAGAGGAAATATGGCAACTCCCACGTTTGGGCTCGAGTTACTCTACAACAACTATAAGCAAGATATCAGGGGGAAAATCGACGCTGCCGTCTGTTTCATTCACTGGAAGCTCATCAGCGCTGGTTTCCTCTGCATTGGTCTAGGAGAAGATGTAAGGAATTCTCAATTCGCTCAAGTTGGCCCAGAAAGCCCAAGTCTAACATTATGCGCCCGTCCGTAGGCCTAACTGTGTTCAACGTTAGGCATACAGTATGGAAGACCTGGCCTAGTCAACATCTGTAAGGATACTCTATCATAGACCTTAAGAAAAGCGGTGAGGGCGCTAGAGAGAGTCCTGTTCTGTCAGTGTGTCCAACATCACCGTTGTTCGACAACAACAAAAAAGTAGTTATCAGACCTCTATGAAAATGGGGATGCAGGTAGATATAGACAAAATACATGCTTAGTTCATTTTTGGGTGAATTTATACTAAGAACAATTTTTATTTCAAAATTTTAATTTGAAGTTTGCTCACAGTGAAAAAGGCATGAGCAACTGTCACCCTTCCTGGATCATACTGCAAGGCTTGTGCATTGCTAAGCTTGGGTTGGGTTTCACATCAGCTGGAGGTGTTGGTTAGTTCCCTTTCAGCTGTTGTTACTGATGAATCCATTGCTGAAGAATGAAGAGTGGGGTAGTACTTGGCAGTGGAGAATCTGAAATTGCACAAAATGTTACCTTGTAGTGCTGCACTATTGGACTGAGTTTGCCCAGCTTGTTAAAAAAAATGTTCCTTTTGATTCTTTGACCAGGTGACAGTCCCTCCTGACAGTCAGAAATCAGAAAGTCTTCCCTCAGGCTGGCATGAGGGTGGAGAATCCTTTTCCTTAAGGTACTTGTTGGAGGATGACTTATATCTTATGAAAATCCAGAAGGTGAACTCAACACTTCTAGTGAACCTACTGGTTAGTTTTGATGATGTCTGCTGACACATTATGCATATATTTTGCTTATCCATGGTAATAGGCCCATTACATTTTCCAGCATCAAGATGTTTCATTGCAGCTTCTTCACCATAGAAACAGTAATGATGTTGTCCCTTAAAATATTATTTCCTCTGTTGCAGCGAGTGAAGGATGAGCGTGTCACTTCCTCTGCTATCAATCTTAACTCTGATTTGTCAGAGGACTTAAGTTCCTCCCAGGCAGCCTTCCCCACAGCAAGTGCCTTGAGTGATCGGCTTCAGGAGGGTTTACTTGAACTAATGAAAACAAAACAGACAAGGAAGGAGGCAAGGAAGGAAAAGGAATCTAAAGAAGATTCTAAGAAAGTGTCAAACCCAGACCAGGATGATCCTCTTCGTGATCCTCTCAGGATTGACCGTAGACCATACAACCCTTCTTTCTTCTCAGATCCGCTTTCCCAGTATGCCATTTTTATTGTTCTTAGTAACAGCCTATTTATACAATTTACATGTAGCTGTTTTACCCATTTTACTGATGCTATATGCCTCATAATTTTTTTTTCTATCTCTGAGTGATTTACTAGTTCAGAAATTTAACAAAAAAGTCACATTTAGAACATCAATTCCCCTTTGGAACTAGGAAAACCATTGGTATAATGTATTTTAATATTGTCCCCATTGCTATAATATTGTGATGGAGAATCAATCTTATGCTTGTATATAGTAACCCAATGGGAGGAGGAGGATTTCTCCCTCCTGTGGGACGGGGAGATTTGGACCCATTTGACATGGATCCAGGTGGAATGCTCATGATTCCTCCCCGAGGCCTCCGTCAACCTGGAATCCCTGGAAACCTCCCTCTGTAAGTCAGAGCTCTCCCTGCTTTATTCTTCCTGGGAACCTCCTTACTTTGAAGAACAAATTATGCCTTGCCTTTAATGTAATTGTAAATTTTGTCTATATCAGGTGGAGGTTGAATGCGACTATTCTACCCCAAATCCCACCAGATTTTTCTTGTAGCTGTGAACTTGATAGTCATTGCATTATGTGCAGCATCTCATCACTAAGCATTATGAAGAGATTGAAACTTGTATCCACCATGGCTCCACCCTCCAATTCTCATAAAAGAACTTACAATAGATTTATTCTATATTCATTAGTATGTAAATCATGTGTTGACAGGAGGTTAATACTGTCTGAATGGCCCTGCTTGGATAGCTCTTAGGAAGTCTTGTTGCCCCAGTCATTATTTCTTCATTTTTGTAGTAGTGAGTCTTGATAAGGTGATAAAACTTCCATTGAGATAAGTTTAGCAATGATTTTTTTTTAAGCTAAGTTACTGATCAACCAAAAGTATCAGAAACTTAATGATTGTGGATATTACATAATGTGACTCATTACATAATGAGTCACATTATGTAATATCCCTGATGAAATCTCCATATGATACTTTATCTTGAGATTTACATGTGGATTTTATTTGGCATATAATTTTGAGTCATCATTGATCAGGGGTTGGTAGCTGACCTGCTTTCATTGTCTCAATTTATTCTTCTAAACAAAAATCATTGAAGCATCTGGAAGGGGAATCTGAAGAATATAAAGAGGGGGTAAGAAGTAATCCCTAATACTAGTACTATCTCAATATGACTCTGACCTGGTGTTAGGCCATGGCATCTACAAGATTAAATCATTAACATTTTCTTTGTTTGTCTGATTTTTCCTTTGACTCCAGAGCAGAGGTGATGATAACTCACTTATTTTACAAAAGAACCAGTCTTATTTGAATTGAGGAGTTCTCTGGAAAAGGGGCATATATGCAAAATATGCAATTTGAGATAAATGGCAAAAACTAATATGCAGCTGGTGAAAACTCAGTTTTCAATCAAATGTTTTCTAAGACCTTTTTCCAATTGAACTAGGGGGTTTAACGAATTTCTTTATCTCACATTGATGGGATGTATGCAGAAAGTGTTCATGTACATACGTCCTTTTTCCATATCTATTGAAACTTTTTCCAGCCAGTCTTTCACCACTTCTTTTTGATTAAAATTCATAATTTGCCAATAAACACATCAATCAATTTCAAATCAACTCTTCCTCAAAGAATGACTATAAAAACTTGAATATTCAGGACAAGTTTCATTCACCAATTGATCATCAATGATCCCTTATTAATTTATTCATCATCTGAATATTCAAATTTTTCATGGACATCGCCAACTTCTTTCCAAAGGTTTGGATCACTGGACTCTTTCTTCCCCTCCCCTCCTGTCTGGTTTCTTCCTCTTTCTCATTTTCATTTCAAAAGAATGAAATTTATTCCATCATAATTGTTCAGCAATACAAGTGCTAATAGAATATTCATGGAGGCAGCCCTATTGAAATTGTCAGGCAGTGGGCCTGCCATATAGTGAAAGCATAGAAAATTGTGCTTCTCCTTTGCTGAATAAACATCTTAACTACCTGCTGACCACCCTATCCTATGACAAGTCAACTAAAGTAGTGCATAGGCACAGATATAGAAAAAGGGCATGTGGGCACTTATGCCCCTTTTCCAGAGAACTCCACAATTATTCTTTTTATCTCAGTATAACTGTCACAGAAGCCTCTTGAAAGTCTGGTACTGTATAACAGCAACATTTTGGAGCATAGGAGGTAGTCAAGTGTATATTTATTTTGCTCTTCATTTGTCATGTTGTCAGGATTCTAACAAGTATTTACAAGTCACTTCAATCCCTTTGATTATTTACACAGAGGAGCAGTTCCTCCTGGGGCTAGATTTGACCCATTTGGACCAGTCCTTCCACCACGTGGACAAGGGCCACGACCAGGAGGACTTGGGATAGATCCAGATCCAGATCACATGAGGCCACCCACAGGTGCTGATGACATGTTCATGTGAAGCATTCTACCACATGTTACAAGGTGGGTCAGCTGTTAACATAGTAACAGTAGAGTTCCTGTTCTATATTAGAAACTTTACTTTATGGTACTGTAGATGGTTTTGTGATCTTTCCTCAATTCTTTTGGAGGTATTCTCTGAAAATATGAGCATAGTTTTTTAGAGTTCCAGATAGAATATTGTTCTGACAGCATTTAAAGGAATTCCCATCTTCAGGAATGGATCTCAAGGCAGCAAAATTCCAAGGGCATTGACATCATAAGCATCAATGAAGAAATATACAAATTGCAATCCAGAAACAGCAGATTTTCAGTCCCCTGCCAAAAAGAGCCAGTGGTAATTTCTTTTCTTTTTCTTCTTTGGAAGAAAACTGATTTAGTTATATATATAAAAATTATAGCCACTTTTTGAATCATTATAGGTTGACCAATATAAGCTTCTTGACTGAATGTCTTTCATGTGATTTTTTCCCAGTATAATGTGCAAAGATTTGAAGTCTCTTCAATGACCTGCTGAGTCCCTTGTAAAACTTGTAATGAAGTATAAGAGTACTTCATTTATGGTCATTACATAAAAATGAGTTGTAAGTGCACTTTCTCCAGTGATGAAATGATCCAGACTACAAGAGCACATAGCTGAACTCTTCGTGTTTATGAATTGAATGAATAGGCCTTCTGCATGTAAGAGAACATTGCCCCTTGTGCCATTTATGGTCAGAGAATGAAAAAAGACATCCATGACACAACTTTTCAATTCAGTCTCTCATCAAGGATGGCTTTCCTCCTCTCTTCATGACATATAATGAACCTTTTCATATCAACAGGAGTTGAGCTGTTCACTCTTCCACCTGGATTATTATGTTATATATCAGGTGGGGCCCTGCACAGGCCAAGTGAGGGATTTACAAATCTCTATACATGGTAACTGAGTAGAAATTGGAAGAAATTATGTGGAAAACATTCTGTCCAGGGCTTTACTGGTGAACCTGTACTTATTCAGGAAAATAAGAGTCCAATTTCATGAAGAAGGGATGCTATCCTCCAAGAAATGTTTCACTGCAGCAATGTCTGCTCAGGGATGAGAATCCTTGTGAGACATCACTCAAAAACATCCCTATCTAGACACTGTTCTAAAATATGTTATGTTCTTTGCTTATTTTTAAAATAAGCAAAATAAAATAAGTTTTCCATATAAGCCCCTTGCTTGAGGCACCAGAGCTTGCCTGTATTTGTTGCCATTTATTGCATCCCAGACAATAGATAGCAGGGCAGGGGTAGCATAATGAAAGGAAGAGGAGCTTCATCACTTCAGACATTCACAAATGGACTTATGAGTTTATTGGGGCAGGGAAAATAAAAAAGAGGTCACAAGAAATCACAAGAGGACACAAGGCATCACATCCTTCCTCACAACAATTCATATGCTATGATAATGAATGCTCCTAGCCATTAGTTTGATAGGGACAAATTCACATTCAAAGCAACCAAAATAAAAACTTTGAAAATGAGGCTGGTGCAGAGCACATAATTAATAACATGAGTATTATTCGAATTTCATCCAGTGGTGATGCTCTTGGCTTTTACTGACAAGAATGGACCAAGCGGTCATGTTTGGATTAGAACCTGGATATCTTGCACCTATTGGTAGACATGTCATGCATTATGCATCACTCTAATGCCTTTCTTGGCTCATGCTCCAACAAAATGAAACACATGGTGAAGGAAACCTGACAGTGGTCACATTGTTCACCATGTTCCATCAGCCATATTACGTCACAGTAACATCATCCATCACTACTTCAGTGGTTTTCTGGATTTGTAAACAGAGGACCTGCCAGATTCCTCAGTTCATATACACCTTCCTCTGATTTTTCTGATGTATGATAGGTAAAAAGGTATTATTTGAGAATGCTAGTTCAGTCCACTTTTGTCATGAATCAGTTCAGAATCTGTTAGACTCAATGAACCAATAGGGTGTGCCTTAAATGTACCATATGAAATCTGGAATATCATGGTATGTTACATTGAGAGATATTTATTTGCAATTCACTAAAAAAAAATGAAATTATATCTGCTAGGTCATGGACACATCTTATCTGATTAAATAACTTTAAATTAAATATTTCTCTGTTGAGGTTCATACAGTATCACCTGGTACCTCCTTCATATTTTTTTTTACAGGGTGTTCATATTTAAACGCAACATAGGGAATATTTTGCTGCCTGTAGGTGGAGTTCTTCCAATGCTAAAAGGCCCACTGGGTTGCATATCTACAAGGAAACACTCCAGGGATAGGTTTCATCCTTCCAGATTTGCAACCCGGTGACCTATAAGGCACTCCCTGAGCTCCACAAACAGGCGGCAAAAACTACCCTATGTTACGTTTAAATACAAACACCCGGTATATTTTTGGGTGATCACATTTTATAAGCAAATAGTGTATACTGGTCCTTGATTTCAATTACATTTCTGAAGGGTAATTTGGTTGGAGAATGATCAGCTGTATGAAAACACCTTCCCAAAATGAATCATTATTCCAGTCAAACTTACTGCTTGTGCTTGCAGCAATTTTGCTCTTATACATTGAAGTTCTCCCATTTGAAGATTTTCCTTCAAGTATATACTAATTATCTTTATAATTCCACAAGTCATTGAGATTTTGTAAAATTTAAAAATGCTAAGTCTTTTTTGTGGATATTGTTTCACCTTAAATTTGTGTTACAGGGTAGATGCATAGGGCTGGATGGATATTTAAAAAAATTTGCAATGAAAACAGCAGAAGAATGGTTTTTAGTAGAGGGTCTCAATGTTTTTTTTATTATTTATTTATCAGTTCTGACACCCATGATAACTGATTCCATTTAAAAAATGGTGACTCTTCAAAGGAGGGCAAAAGTTGGCACATTGAAATCAACTTTTTCATGCTCTTTCTCAAATGGATATAATTTAAAATTTAGTTTTTCACCTATAAATATGTACCCTCACACTTTATATGGGCATTTGTGATTTCCTCTAGGCATTCTGAATTATAGCCAAAAAGGGGTGGCCCTCCAGGTCACCTGACCTGATCCCAATGAATTATTTTGTGTGAGGTTATGTTTTATCCTTCATTTACAGTGTGAAAGTCAGAAGTCTAAAAAAATGAATGAATGCATTTACAATAAATGCCAAAAGACCATCCATGCAATTCACCAATTCCAGAATCTTATTCATACATTTTTTGACAAAGGAGGAGAAAATCATGTAGAGATTAACTTGAGACCCTAGACTACATTCCAATTTATGTTTCATTATCCTGTTGTATTTCCCCCCCTCCCCCCCCCCCCCAAAAAAAAAAAAAACCTGTCCAGCCTTTTATATCCACCTTTTCCTATCCCATTCATATTCCCTATGCCATCTATGATGATACTTTCCAAATAGGTTTGATTTTGGAATGTATTTTTTTAGTGTCATTTTCCTTTGTGGCTTGTTAAGTTGTTAAACTGTTATTCATGACTGAAGTTGTCCCTTGCCACCAATCCATCATGAATAAAAGATATCCTGGCTATATTCCTGCTTGCTACATCTTTCTCAGAGCTTACATAATTTATTGATATCACCATTTCATCTGGAGTGTGTGATTCAATCACTCATTCAAGTGTAACATCTCCACATGTTAAGTCCCCTTGAAACCAGACTGCTTTTCATCTCATGGAATCCTTTGCCCTAAATCCAAATCGTTGTGGGATATTATTCAAAAGGGCTTGACACCAGTCTTGTCCATTATGTAGAGCCAGCAGCACATCAAACACTAGAGAGAGGGAGAAGCATGGGGAATTTCTCATAGTCAAAAACATAGTATTTAACTTGTTTCATGTAATGTATAGAATCAAAAGGTGATTGGAGACAGACCTTGATTAACAGTCAAAATAATGTTACAAGAAGTATTTGATGAGGTTTTCGGGATCCTTTCAAGATACTCAGGAATTGGCAGTCTCCGACATTTGAGGCTGGATTTCTTCCAAACAGAGATTGAAGCATTCTGAAAATGATTAAAATTATCTTAACACATTGGTGACGGGCCCCGAGAAATCTCGTAGTACGCTTGTGAGCGGTTGGTGACCGGCCCCAGGGCCGGTCACCAACCGCTCGTGAGCATACTATGAGATTTCTCGGGGCCCGTCACCAATGTGTTAAACCCATGTCCAGAGGGTCATTCAGGATCTTCACAATTTAAAAAAGCAAGGATATAAAATGCAGATGACAGTACAAAATGCTAGGATATAAAATGCAGATGACAGTACAAAATGCTAGGATATAAAATGCAGATGACAGTACAAAATGCTAGGATATAAAATGCAGATGACAGTACAAAATGCTAAGTATTTTTTCCTTTGATGTGAGACAGAGGACGTAGACAGCAATTTCTTGGAATTGACACACACCCCTTTGCCTATGTACCTCAGAGGTGAAGGGGATCAGAGCACAAATACAGGCATCAACTCCAGTAAAGCTTGAGAAATAGACAAAAATCTGTTGCTATCAACTGTGTGACTGTCAGAAGTGGATGCTATGATTGAATTTGTTTTCTTAGCTTGTTTGCATCATGACAATCCAGGTCAGAGTTCTTGAATAGTCCACCTGACTGTTGCACACGGGCAGGGTATATAGCTATTCTCCAGGCAAATTATTTCAAACCTGGCAATTTATTTGGCCTATATGAAGCAGAACATCTACCATCAAAACAAACATGGCTGCCCCGAAGTGTTCACCCATGGACCACTCTAACTACAGGGTGACAGAAACATTGAAGCAATGTAAATGCTTTGTCATTTATATATTTATTTTCCAAAGACAATGTGGTATTGCACTAATTCTATTCAAAGATTTACGATTCAAGTGCAACATGTTACAGCTTATGTTTTGAAGATAGTGCCCTTCAAATGGTCTCCATGAGATGCAGCACTGGAAAGTGAATGTTTTTCAAAGTTCAATAGTCACATCATCTCTTGTTTGGTGACATTTCATGGCCCACTAGATCTCCAGATCTAACTGCACCAAATTATTTTCTACTTTAGGTGTACCAAAATAGGCTTCACACATTACAGGAATTTGAGAAAAACATTAATGTGGAAGTAGCCAGAATAACCCCAGCATTGTACAAATTGATTGTCTAGAACATTGGAGATTTTCTTACATTCTGTGTTGCATCTCACATAGACCATTTAAAGGACAATAAGTTCAAAACCTAAGTTGTAACATGTTGCATTTGAATTGCAAGGCTTTGAATAGTACTTATGCAAAACCACAGTTTGTTTTTGAAGCATAAATTTAAAAAATGACAAAGCATTTACAAAGCTTCAATGTTTCTGTGTCACCCTGTACAACCATTACTTTGTCAAAAAGAAGTCTGCAGCTCAGATATTGATAAATGGAAGAAAAGTTTAGGCCTGTGAAAGTAGACCCCTAATCTGACCCATAGACTTACTACTGTGCATTCAGTACTATCATGCTACCAGTATACTCAGGAGAAATAATATATCTCTTCATACCTTCACTTTTGTTTCATCTACCAAGCCTCCAATGACATACACTTGAGAGGAGTCAAGGCACTCCAGGGGAGCTTCTGCATCAGGGCTCAGGAAGACCAGAGAATCACACTGGAAAATATCAGCAGGACTTTCTGCTCTATACTCCAGCTGAACAAATCATTCAGAATGAATACATACTTTAAGCCTCCCCAACTGGGCCTAAAAAAAAATTCAAATAATTGCTACTTTGTAAATTCACACTTACATCATAGTCGGTAAATCCCTTATTTTTCTCAGAGCAGATTGAATAGAGGAGACAATTCTCTGAAAAGGAGGATAGAACAACTCTCCGAAAAGGGATGGGTGCATGCCTGTTGCTCCCATATAGTCTTCGAATTTGACATGCCAGCCTTGTCAGCTCCTATGTGAACAAATCATTCTGTTCATAATACATATATGATGCAAGACAGAGTATTGAGATGCAACCCTAGCTGTAGCTGACACAGCTATGTGTCCTGTGATGTGTTGCCTCTTTTAACAGGTTTCCTGAAGAGCCAGAATGTTATAACTGACCTCTTGGGATATTTCAGGCTTTAAATTGCCCCTACCCTGTTTTTTTTTTTTTAGTCCAATGATGTAGTGAAAAACACCCATAGACATTCCAAAACAGAAATTCTCCATAAAATGTAATGTTTGAAAAATGAATATGAACTGCAGGGATGTTATTTTATTAACAACAAGGGGGTGAGTAAGCTTGGAAGAAAGAAGAGGTCTATTAGTGGGGTCTCTTTGCTCTCCCCCGGTTTACCCAAAATTACATCCCTGATTAACTGGGGTCACTTTGTTATCCCAATCATGGAATTTGTAAGGCAGGTTATGATTATGAAAAAAATTATTTCTGAATATACTGTGCATTAAAAGTTTTCCCAATACTTTTTATAATATTTATTAGCGTCAGAAGCACCAATCCAAGAAATTCTCACACCCCAGCATATTCCTTCCAATTGCTAAGCCAACATTGACTGCATTAAATGTGTCTCATTTCATGCTGATTACTGCTAAGAAAATCTATGCATACAAGGGCAAGGCATACCTTTACAGTCATTTGAGCAGAGAAGCTGAAGTCAATGCATATGCATGGGCCTTCTGGAGCTTGCTCCAATTTCTGAACATATGCATCTCGAGTAATCCTCTGTGGAGCAAGGCCAAGTTGTTCTCTTTCCCTTCTCCTTCTATGCTCTTGCTTTCTTCCAATCTTGCGTGCTTCCACAACTCGATTGTGATGCAGGGCTTTCCTTGCCTTGTTCTTCTACTTGAAGGAAAGGCAGTGGTTGTAGCAAAATGCAGCCTTCATCTGAATTCCTCTATCTTTGCCAATTCTCCCCTATCCTCCACTGCACAGAGCAACTCAGGCTCTTCGCCATTTGGCCAAGTAAGTGGGAAAAGTAGATAGACTAACCTATTTTGCCAAGGTTTGGGTATCAAGAGTCTGTTAGGTCAGACAAGAGTTACAGCTGCTCTCACCTGTTGGCTCTGGACTTAGTCAATAATTAATAATAATAAATTATGCTCACTGAACAACATCCAGGGCCACCACAGCCCACAGAGGGGAGCATTCCATATAAATAGGGCAGAAGACAAAGCCTAGTTTCTGAGAAAAAAAAGTCAACGTTTTTACGTCCCTTGGATTGATGAGAGCTAATTTACTCTTGCAAGCAGACGCAGCAATAGAGCTGACATGGAAATAGAGCTTCAAGTCACACCCTTTAGTACTTCCGGAGTATTTGCTTTGTCAGTTGATCAATGAACCTCCTACTAGGAATACGTCATAGCCTGCAATTGATGGAAGCGCTCTAATGGGGGAGGGGGAAGAGTTCAATCCGGAAAAAGGGTATGGGCAGATCGACAGAATCTCACTGAAATTTGGTGAGTAGAAGTCACGCCGTCCTGAAAAGTACTCATGTTGAACACGTGGGTTTAGGTAACGCCATGACTTCTTCTAGAGCAACATGGCTGCTCACACAATTGGTCGGTCGTGGGCATACGCCCTGGCCTTACGATCAATCCTAATCCTTGAGCCTCTTCTTGAGCCTTAATTCCATCATTATACCGCCTCGTACTGGTACGCTACGCCCCAAAGTAAAAGTTCGTGGCATAGCAATTAGATGCCATGTATGACGGTTTGGAGAAGTTAGAAGAGGAAGAAATGAAGAAACAGACACCAGAGGACGATGTATTTCCTTCACGGATTCCGTCCAAGGAAGATGGAGATATCTACAAGATGCGACACGAACGCTGGACTCTCAGGCGATCGTCCAAATCGGAAAGCTGCCTGCATATTTCTGAATCAAACGAAGGCAGAAGGGAACTTCGCTCAAGCTACAGTAGCGATGACGAGAAAGAGGTGACTTCATTTGTTACATGGGGTCATATTTTCAAGTAGCTGCTAAGTCTCTACTATATCTAGTCGTGACTAAAATGGTATTTTCAAGGAGATACTAAGCGTTAGTAGCTACTAAACTTAATACAATTTTAGTCGGTGTTGGAAGGTTGTTTAAAAGGCTACTAATTCTGTCTGTCAGTTATGGACGTCTTACGTGCGATTGATGCAGAAGAACGTGAGCCATCAAATCAATACAGGCAAAGAACATATTTGTATCATGGGAACCCCATGTGTTCTAAAAATAATGATGATCCATTGGTATTGCCCTGATTGCTTGCAGATTTTCCAATCTTCTCTGTCTGCATCCCCATGATCTTTTGTTCCCAGTACTTTTTACAAGATGTAAAATGTCCATCTTCTTTCAATGTTCTTCCTCCATCATTTCCATTTGGCGCTTGTGCTCTCTCTTGTACAAATCCATGTGCAGGAATGCTTCAAGAGCATTCTTCCTGCTGGTGAAAAAAAAAAACTATTTCTTTCTTTGCATATCATCGGTGGTAAGATCATCCATGATCCCATGATCATCAAGCAGGTTCACCGGATTGTCAAATTCACATGGCAGGGAATCCACCATTACTGAGTATCCTCTGATGGTGGTTCAGGTGGGGACCCACCACCAGTTTTCTTGCATTGTTTCCAGTGCTTTGAAAACTTTTCCTTTGCATCACCTTTCATTCATTGCCATTGCTCCTTGTGTGGCAATTCATGTCTCTCTTCCAGTCATAGCAATGATGAAATCTTTGCACAACTTTCTCCAAGCACAATTTTCCTTGCATTGACTTGAATGTCTATTTTCTACGACAGAAAAGGCCTCAATGCACAAAGAACAAAAGAGCTCCTTCTCTTCAATGCACCAGTTTTCCAATCTTGGACATTTAACAACACTCATAATTATCCCATTATTCCCTAACTGCAAGGAGATGAATGGTCGACCATGGCACAAGGTGTCATGAAGGAAAAACATGGTTTTTGATGACTTTATCCGAACCTTGAAATGTGTCATACTTATTCTGTTATTCAATCATCATTAGCATACATTGATCATATGAAAAAATATTCTCCAAAAAGATACCATTCTCTGCTGTGGAGGCTGATGCTTGAAACTTTCAACAGTGTTGCCAAATCTATTCCTAGCCAAAATGCCACTAAGTTAGTAGCTACTAACAAGTCAGAAGTTAGTGGATCTTTGAAAATACCATTTTTTTTAGTAACTACTAGCTAGTAGCTACTAAACGCTAGTCACTACTAAAGTTAGTAGCCCTTTGAAAATATGACCCATGGTGTTCCTAGCCTAACACACTATAAGCTCAAATAGTGTACTAAGTCACTTTTTCTGACTGAGAGGGAGGAACGAATCAACATTATAAGTGTGCTATGTTCCTTTTTTTCCTGTCATGAACTTGGGGAATTTTATTTTAGTATTCCTCCATATGTGTAGAAACCTAAACAATTATGAAAAGCCTCACTGTTTTCAGATTGAATATGAATAGGATCCATCGATTGCAGGTAGAGTCTGAATGAAGTTGATCTGGAAGTTGTTTCCTTCATTCTCCACTATAGGGCAGTTATGAATCCATTCTAAAGACATTGTAGTGACTTCATCATGACTTTGTGATCATAACTGAGATAATCTTTTGGGAGAAACCTAGGTTTGGTCTTTAACCTTATGGAAAATATTACTAAGCAGTAATGTGGTCTTGGGTGTTTCTGGCCCCATGGGGTATTGCTTTTGCACACTCAAGCAAATCATGTCTTTTCTTTAGGATGGAGACCATCCATAGAAACTTTAATGTCTGTCAAGCAGCATGATTATTTATGGTCACATATGGCCAATCACAGTGTATCATATACTATATCTATGTATATGGTTTCAAGTCTTACAGGCTGATGGCATGATGCAAGAAATATATTGACTGCATACAAAAAAGTTCTAGGCATGAGGTTGTCATGTATGAGGGTAATTTTGGAAGTCACTGCAACTAATTTTTTGTGCCATTTGTGCTGTACATCAGCTCTAAAAAATGTGCAACATACAAAGTAGTTCCATGGTATATATAATGGAGTTTCTTCTGTCTGGCAACCATATTATACCATCAGGCCTGCTGCAAAACAACTTCTTGATCTGTGGTATTGTATCAATCTGGTCTTGTCAGATATCATTTCATTATTTTCATTGCATCAGTAACATTTTACATGGCTATGAACAACCTTCAAGTTAGGGCTGAAGAATTGCATGACTAGAGTTCTTTTTAGAGTGGCAACTATGTTTTACTATCAGCAATTGCTGATGAGTTGATGTCTGCTGCCACCCTATTCACTATTGTGGTGGTATTGCTGAGTGCAGAGAATTAATGGCTAAGGTTCTTTCTGCTGAGAATTGGTCAAAATCAGAAGGGTTCATATCAGATGAGTATGGAGGATGTTCAATGACTGTCCAACACCTTCCTGGCAGGAGTGTACTTAAAGAATTTGTGAAATGGCATTTAGCATTTTTATGGAGTGTGATCTTGCCCAGAGCCTTTAGTTTTGATTGTGCAATCTGATCACAAGACAGTTTCTTGGATGGGCTTTTGTCACTGCAATGTAATACTCCCAGTATTACATTGCATTCATTGTCCAAGATACTGCATCAGGTCTGACTGTATCATCCACTAGTCCCATTCTGGGGCATCCACATTATCCATGAAAATGTGACATGCCACTCAACAAAATCTATGGGTATGCTTCTTGCAGGATGGGGTTGGGAGGTTATTGACCACCCCCCATACTCTGATTTGACTCCTTATAACTGATATGATGCCACAGCTGAAAAATTCCTCTATGGCCATCATTTCTGGGTACTCAATGACCTCAAGGGCATAGGGAAGACTTGTCCTGAAGGTATAATATGACTGCCATACTGGATGAATTGTCATGGAATTCTTGGGACTGATTTTAAGGTTGCAGATCTGTAAGTGTCCATATACAATGTATTGGTACAATAAAAATGAGTTACAATGACTTCTGAAATAACTTTTGTATATTATTAGGGGTATCACCTGAGGTTGAATTCTGTATGGAGATGGCAAAATTTGTTGCTGTCACTGATCTTGCCAATTGAAAGTTTTAAAATTATTTTTCATTCAAATTCCCTTACCTTTGTCAAACTTGAAGAGACATTGTCAAACACAATATGCCTTATATTTTGGACACGTAGTCCCCCCATAGCACCAAGCACTCCTACTCATGGTGCACATATAATCTCATATTTATGGTCAAGGCTAATCCCCTTTTTGGTTTTTCATTATCTCAAAATTTTTCCCTGTGTATGTTAACCATGAAATAGTTTAGGGTGTGTTATCGGTTAGGCTTTGGTTAGTCCCCAGTGTCTCTTTTCATACAGGAATATGGCATTCCTTTTCATGCAGATCTTTCAAAATGATGAAGCAGAAGGATCCCAGGAGAATGAGTACTTCAGTTCAGTTCAGCAGCCAAAGAGTGTAGTGATGCCTCAACTATCCACACGAGAAGCAAAACTTCGGTGAGTTGGTCACATATCAAGGGTAATTAGAATTTCAAAAGAAAAGTTATGTTCATCTGGGTAATCTCACAGGTGTCACTACAATTTTCAAGCATAAGACTCTGGTGTAGGACTGCTTGACAGGACTCAAACAAGATTCATTAGCTAAGCTTATGAATAGAAATGGAGCAGAAAGTAAGCCAAAAGAGGAAAAAAAAAAAGCATATATTAAATAAACAGAATGATTGCATATTTCATTTACCTACTTTTTTTCCCCAATCAAATTTAGTGGTTATGTTCTTCCTTTTCTTCAAGAACATGTTTTCTCTCAGATATTCCACAAAATAATTGAAGTGTAAAGTAATTAAAATGCTTTCTTGTTTCTTTAAATTTTTTTGGAGCATTCTTACTTGAACATTTCTATGAAATATTGAAATGATTATTGTGTGATCTGTAAAATGTAATGGAACAGAAATAAGCTAGGAGTCCATATATTCTATTAATCAGCTTTTATTTTTCCAGGAGTTTTATGGTTGGTCATATTAGTGGAAAGGCTCTCCTTGGCCTCACTGAGCTAAAAAGATACTTTCCAGACAGAATCTTGAAGATTTACATCCTCTCTTGGAATATGAATGGACAGGTAAGTAGTTTTGCTATTGTTTGGTTTTAGTTTACTTACTCACACTCATGGAGATCATTGATGGTATTTCCAGCCTCCACTGCGTCGCCTGGATGAAATTGTATATCCTTCCTTTGTGGAGGCTGTGCCAGACCTTTTGGTCATTGGTAGCCAAGAAAGCTATCCAGCTAGGCGAATCTGGGAAGTGGACCTTCAAGAAGCTATTGGACCATCCCATGTCCTGTTCCATTCTACAGCACTTGGAACTCTGCACTTGGCTCTTTTCATTCGCAGAGATCTTATCTGGTTCTGCTCTGGCATGTTTCATCCTACTTACATCTGAATATTTTCTCAGTTGCAAAGATTACAACCATTTCTACATATACATGAGCATTTTTTAGATTTTTAAAATCTCTTTTATGACATATGATGGTTGCAGAACCAGAGACCAGTTCATTCAGCATCCGACAACCAACCACAATAAAGACCAAAGGAGGGATTTGCATCATGCTCTACTTCTTTGGAACCTCACTACTATTCATCAATAGTCATTTATCTGCCCATCATGACAATGTTCAAGATCGGATATCAGACTACAAGCGCATATGCAGAGGCCTGGATTTCCCCAAGATCCTTCCAATTAAGTCTCATCGTTACACATCAGGTGCATAGTCATTCTGAGTTTATGTGCTTGTTTGAAGTGTGTGTGAGAGCCCCACCCATGTTAGAAATTTATAAAATGTTTATATTAACAAATTGCCCTAGCAAATTTTTTAAATGTCAATTTTTCATTTGCAGACATCACATCTATGTTTGACTATGTCTTCTGGTTCGGGGATCTCAATTTCCGTATTAGTCAACCGAGAGATGCAGTTTTGGAACAGGTTTCAACAAATGGGCAACCAAGATTTTCCCAAGCTATCCTCAAGCATGACCAACTTCTTTCCCTTATCACTGAAGGTAAGATGATGTAATTCTCCACTATTTTGAATTAATGAACCATTGTTTTCATTGCTGCTTCTGCCCTTTAAGGATCTGCCTTCAAGGGCTTTTCTGAGGCCCCCATCCACTTCCCACCCACATACAAGTATGACCCAGGCACTGGCAATTGGGATTCATCAGACAAGCAGAGAACCCCTGCCTACACAGATAGAATCCTGTATCGCTGCAAGACTTCAAGGACAGTGAAATCCCTGGCATACGACTCTCTGACATATGTGAAGACATCTGATCATAAGCCAGTCTGGGGACTTTTTACAGTCACAATCAGGCCTGGCAGTGAGGCCAAGTGAGTTTCTAACCTTAGCTTCAAGGCACTTCATTTGAAAGACCCCTAAAAGGTAATATAGCTTACAGTTAGAAAATTAATTTAGAGTCTGGTAATTGAATGTCAATATGTCCCAAAATTAAGTTACATCTATTCTGGGTGATGAATTTTTCATAGCCAGAACATATGATGTGTCATAAACCATGAAGATCAAGTGACATGACATTATCCACTTCATGATCTAGTTCCTACCACAGATTCAGAGATGATGTCTGTGGGCTGACTGTGGTTTCCTTTTCTCCCTTGCACTACAGTGTGAGCTATTCCCTTTTCAGTATTCCACTATCAGCTGGCCTTTTCCAAAGAGATATCTACCTCGCTGCTCTTGAACGTCGAGCCACAGCTCTTGAAATAAAGAAGAGGAAGACAATGCCATCAAAAAGCAAGTCCCTGGTCTGTTCTATACAATGATGTCATGGTCATCAGCTGGATTGCACAAGAACTGTGATTGCACCCTTACCGTCCATCTAGTCAAGCCTCTGTGATGTTAAATAGTTCAAAGCACTGAAAAAACTGATCTCATTTGAGAATGTAAGCTATTCATCAGGAGTACTTGCTGAGGCATATCTGAATCTCAGCAGCTGAATCCTCATCTTCATGTTCCTGATATAGTGCCTGACCTTTAGTATTGAAGTAGCAGCTGTCAAAAGGAACTTACTTATTATCTGGGTGAATGTATTATGTGGTAGAAATGAATAGAATTTCACAACAATTTGGTATACTTTCTCTTACTCTTTTCACTCACATTGAAGAAGTCCAGCAAGGCTGGAACCTAAGAATACCAAAGTGTATCACATATTTCCAGTGATGAGGGTTCAACACCAAAATTACATCACCTTAAAGGAGCTCATATGCTTCACAAGATTATGTATGGTCTTCGGCTGGAATTGATGATCATCATGAATCCAGTAGGCAGCAGTGTCCAAATGCTTGGTGCAATCAAGGATTTTCCATGCCAGCCACAACTGAATGGAGTTCTTCAAGTGACCTGCCCCAAGAATCTCCTCTACGGAAAAATTCGAGTATTCAACACCACAAGGAACACTCTGTTAAATGCTACAGACATGGACTTGCCCACCTCGAGATTCCATGCCCAGAACCAACTGCCGCCTTATGTAATCTTGAACTGAGGTCACAAAAGTGCTTTCACTTATGCAAATATTCTCTTGCTGGATGCGGTGAAGATACAGGGAACTGTAGTAGTACCCACTGATGATTGGATATAGGATGTCCTTACAGAACTCCAGCCACTTTAGGTTCTTTGGCCCTGGGATAACCTGTAAGAAGGGAATGCAATATAGAACATTTCTAGAGTATCATCCATCACAGATTAAGGGCTTCGATTTTAGGGTAATTTTTGTTTGGTGTTTGGTGACAGCTAATAACCAGTTCATTGAATTTCAGGGAAATGCTACATGAGATGCCTTAAAATTCTCTAAAATGGAAGTAGAACATCTGCATTATTGGGAAGGAGGAGACAGAAAAGTATCTAGTTAAGGGGTTCAGATACCTCTATGAACACTTAAAAATGGTAATAGAAAAATCTATGTTTGGAAAATGTACCTTGTCCATTGAAAAGTTCTTGGCCTCATCCAGAAACCAAGCATGCACAGATTTTATTTTACTATCATTCTTCAGTGTTATGACCATCAAGCTCATTGACTCACTTCCAATGATCACACAACGTTCTAATACCAAAATCATACAAATATTCTATTGCCATCAAACCATTCTTGTACGGCTGACTTCAGCTCATTTTCGTCACCAAAATGCCTTTCTCAATGGTCCTTCAGATTTGCAAACAGATAATAGTCAGTTGAAGCCATGCATCAAGAATAGAGTTTGGAAATGACTCCCAACTGTTTGCAAATCTGAAAAAGGATCATTGAAGGCATTTTGGTGACAAATATGTGCTGAAGTTGATTCAAGAATGGCTTGACAGAAAAGAAGAACATTTTTATGATTTCAGCACTAGAATGTTGCATGTTCATTGGGAGCGAGTCATTGAGCATGATGGTCATTATACTGACAATTGATAGCAAAATAAAATCTGTGCGTGATTGATTTGTGGGTGAGGCTGAGAACTTCTTGATGATCCTGGTACTTGCAAAGCAGAGAAACTCCTTAACACGTTGACAACCAGCCTATTTTTGCTTGTCCGCCACGTGGGACCACGCGCATTTTTTTTGTGTCAAAAAATGCGTCCTGCCATCAGGACGCATGGTCCCAGAAAACATTTTTTTTGCCGAGTTTTTTTAAAATGTTGAATTTTTTGGAATTTTTATCAGTAATTACGAAATCATAATCTTCTGGAACGTTCTCAACAGTTCCAGAGGGTATTCATTGAAAANTAAGATGATGTAATTCTCCACTATTTTGAATTAATGAACCATTGTTTTCATTGCTGCTTCTGCCCTTTAAGGATCTGCCTTCAAGGGCTTTTCTGAGGCCCCCATCCACTTCCCACCCACATACAAGTATGACCCAGGCACTGGCAATTGGGATTCATCAGACAAGCAGAGAACCCCTGCCTACACAGATCGAATCCTGTATCGCTGCAAGACTTCAAGGACAGTGAAATCCCTGGCGTACGACTCTCTGACATATGTGAAGACATCTGATCATAAGCCAGTCTGGGGACTTTTTACGGTCACAATCAGGCCTGGCAGTGAGGCCAAGTGAGTTTCTAACCTTAGCTTCAAGGTACTTCGTTTGAAAGACCCCTAAAAGGTAATATAGCTTACAGTTAGAAAATTAATTTAGAGTCTGGTAATTGAATGTCAATATGTCCCAAAATTAAGTTATATCTATTCTGGGTGATGAATTTTTCATAGCCAGAACATATGATGTCATAAACCATGAAGATCAAGTGACATGACATTATCCACTTCATGATCTAGTTCCTACCACAGATTCAGAGATGATGTCTGTGGGCTGACTGTGGTTTCCTTTTCTCCCTTGCACTACAGTGTGAGCTATTCCCTTTTCAGTATTCCACTATCAGCTGGCCTTTTCCAAAGAGATATCTACCTCGCTGCTCTTGAACGTCGAGCCACAGCTCTTGAAATAAAGAAGAGGAAGACAATGCCATCAAAAAGCAAGTCCCTGGTCTGTTCTATACAATGATGTCATGGTCATCAGCTGGATTGCACAAGAACTGTGATTGCACCCTTACCGTCCATCTAGTCAAGCCTCTGTGATGTTAAATAGTTCAAAGCACTGAAAAAACTGATCTCATTTGAGAATGTAAGCTATTCATCAGGAGTACTTGCTGAGGCATATCTGAATCTCAGCAGCTGAATCCTCATCTTCATGTTCCTGATATAGTGCCTGACCTTTAGTATTGAAGTAACAGCTGTCAAAAGGAACTTACTTATTATCTGGGTGAATGTATTATGTGGTAGAAATGAATAGAATTTCACAACAATTTGGTATACTTTACTCTTTTCACTCACATTGAAGAAGTCCAGCAAGGCTGGAACCTAAGAATACCAAAGTGTATCACATATTTCCAGTGATGAGGGTTCAACACCAAAATTACATCACCTTAAAGGAGCTCATATGCTTCACAAGATTATGTATGGTCTTCGGCTGGAATTGATGATCATCATGAATCCAGTAGGCAGCAGTGTCCAAATGCTTGGTGCAATCAAGGATTTTCCATGCCAGCCACAACTGAATGGAGTTCTTCAAGTGACCTGCCCCAAGAATCTCCTCTACGGAAAAATTCGAGTATTCAACACCACAAGGAACACTCTGTTAAATGCTACAGACATGGACTTGCCCACCTCGAGATTCCATGCCCAGAACCAACTGCCGCCTTATGTAATCTTGAACTGAGGTCACAAAAGTGCTTTCACTTATGCAAATATTCTCTTGCTGGATGCGGTGAAGATACAGGGAACTGTAGTAGTACCCACTGATGATTGGATATAGGATGTCCTTACAGAACTCCAGCCACTTTAGGTTCTTTGGCCCTGGGATAACCTGTAAGAAGGGAATGCAATATAGAACATTTCTAGAGTATCATCCATCACAGATTAAGGGCTTCGATTTTAGGGTAATTTTTGTTTGGTGTTTGGTGACAGCTAATAACCAGTTCATTGAATTTCAGGGAAATGCTACATGAGATGCCTTAAAATTCTCTAAAATGGAAGTAGAACATCTGCATTATTGGGAAGGAGGAGACATAAAAGTATCCAGTTAAGGGGTTCAGATACCTCTATGAACACTTAAAAATGGTAATAGAAAAATCTATGTTTGGAAAATGTACCTTGTCCATTGAGAAGTTCTTGGCCTCATCCAGAAACCAAGCATGCACAGATTTTATTTTACTATCATTCTTCAGTGTTATGACCATCAAGCTCATTGACTCACTTCCAATGATCACACAACGTTCTAATACCAAAATCATACAAATATTCTATTGCCATCAAACCATTCTTGTACGGCTGACTTCAGCTCATTTTC